ATATATTTTATTAATATTATTGTTTTGTTATTAATAATATTATGGTGTGAGTGATATTTAGTATAAGATAGTAGCAATTCAATGAAGCAGTCTTTTCAGGTTTTGCTTAATAATTTTATCTTTAGTAATGTGCATTTGAAGGAAAAAAAATAACTGGAACCTTTGTTTTACTGTACTAATACAGGTTATGTATAAAATCCTATTACTGTACAATGTTTCTTCATTGCTATATTCAGCTCATCATCATAAAGGCTTTGTCGTGTTACCTCTCTATAATAGTGACACATCTCTTTATCAAATTAAATTCTCAATGTTCTTGATGCTTAATTTTACTGTAAGTATCACTGAGGTTAAAACATGAGTTGAAAACTAAACTTAATTATTAATTGTAGTTGTTTTCTTATAATATCTAGTGCAAGAAATATACAGTATATTTTTTATTAACAGTCGACTTCAGTGAATATATTATTATAAAACTCCAGTATATTAACTTTGTAGTTTCAGCACTTGGCATTCATTTGTATAAATATGTTATTATAATATCATATAATTGTGAATGCAAAGGTAATAAATATTAATCTAAGATCTACAGTACAAAATGGATTTTTCTTGGTCATTTTATCATTATGATTTATCATTACCATAAGCATCATTTAAAGTCTGTTGATTCCTGGTTAGACCAGTAAAAGTGTGTTTATTTAAAATTAAAACGGAACAGTAGAGAAAATCCGATCAGAATGACAAAATAAACTAAGCATCCACTGGAAGGAATCCCCATATCTGCAGACGGATCCGTTTCAGCCTTCCAGGCCTCATCAGTGCAGCTAGGGTATAGGCCCAAACGAAACGTTCGACAAGCTTTGGTAGGGCCCAAACTAGTCCCACGACCACTAATGATTACAGAGCCAAACCAAGGCAATACATATACACAGCCCAGGTGTAAATGCAAATAGTGGCATACAAGCTATGTGGCTCGGTTCCAGTAGATACAGAGAATATTTTGTCATTCTTAACGCGTCCTACGAAATTCTTACGAGACAGCACTAGTCCGTGAATATGTGAACAAGATCAGAGATCTAAAGATGCAATCTCTACCACGCATCAGTGGCGACCCGCTGGATCTCAATAGAGATTCTTTAATAATATATAAATTTTAAAAGGCAAATGGGAAAACCCATGAAACAGCAAACGGCCACATAATGCAAAACTATTTAAAATTAAAACGGAACAGTAGAGAAAATCCGATCAGAATGACAAAATAAACTAAGCATCCACTGGAAGGAATCCCAATATCTGCAGACGGATCCGTATATACCTGATAGAATTAGTGCTAAGATTTGCATTTTACAAGCCAACTTTCTATCTCTTTTAGTAATTTGTTTCAATTATCTATGGACATTATCTATGTTTGTTGAAAATCTTCATTTATTGTACCTGTCGCTAAGAAGCACGTCCTTCCGAGCATGGAGGAATTTGAGTTAAATGACTTTCACCCTATTGCGTTACCTGTATTATAATAGAGTGTTTCGAGCGTATTGTATGTAAATATTTAAATAATAAAAATATTTATTCGGAAAAAGCTTGTTTTAACAGTGGTACACATCACATCAATGGTGCATCCACAGTAAAACTATAACAATCAAAATAATTTAAACCAACAAAATCAAAACAACACAAAAAGAAATCGTAATTAAGGAGAATAGGGAAAAATCTGACTTAATATAAGTATAACACATTTTGTAAATACACGGTAGCCATTCTCTGGACATAAATTAACTTAATCAAGAAGAGATATGTATTCGTTTAAATTTTAAATACCTTTTCATTATGTGGTCGTTTGCTGTTTTCATGGGATTATCCCATTTGCCTTAAAATTATATATATACACTGTTAATTTCAAGGAGTCAATTTAACTCCAAAAGTGGAGTTAATAAAAAAGGTACAGAACGACTCCTTTTCTGGAGTAATATTTACTCTCATATTTTTACTCCCCAAAGGGAGTAACATTAAACCTGTCTCTTATACACATCTAGATGTGTATAAGAGACAGATATCACAGTGTTTGTCTATTCTAATTCGAAACGAATTGTACGAATCTGCCTCATCCTTATACCAGGCCTTAGTATTTGAAGGGAAAAGTGTACTTGCAATTGTTTCTGCTCTGTTTTCCTCTGTGAATTCCGTTCTAGCTTCCGGCGTCTCATCGTAGCGGGTCCCATACAATGGGGACAGTGCTATGCCAATATATAATTCTTCAGATATGTCAGGATGAATAACTGCATTGATAATGTCACAGTCTTTATTTGATTTGACTGCCGCATAATTTGTGTAACCTACAAAGTCAATTACATCCACCTGTTCAGCAATTATACCTAAAAAAATAATATGCGGTTGCTATTATATAAACAATAAATTATAAAACCAAACATAACAAGTTACAGATACCAATAATTGTCAATACCAATAATTGTCAGAATTAAAAGAAAGTACTTTTGAAGAATCTCGTTTGTATTAGCAGTACATAAATTCGTTTTGGTAAATACCACGACGATTGTTTTTATTTAACTCTACCAATGGCTGGCCGTTTAATCTAATGACTGTATACAGATATACAGTACTGCGAGATCATCGACACTTAGGCCAATGCTTTGTATTTGAGATCCTCTGAAACGCCAATTTCAAAAGTTAAAGGTTGATAAAATAATATATAATATATTAGAATCTTACCAAACAATTGCTTCAAAAGTAGAAGTGTGCCAATAACGATCTGTTAAAAAAAAAAGATTATTCTACTCCACTATTTAAATAAAATATAAATTAATCATATAAAGTTCACTTTATATACTGTATGTGACAGCTTACTTAGGCCATAGAGAAAATAGAACAGATTTCTCTATGCTTAGGCGTAGTAACATTAAAAGAGATATAACAACAGTGTTCGAATAAAAAAAGGGTTCTCGGAACTCGAACCTGCAACCTTCCGCTACCAAGATGAGTGTCTTATTGCCAGACCACATAGACAATATAAGGGAAAAATTAAATTATTGTTTTAAATCGAATCACTTTTGGGGTTAACATTTCGATATTTCGTGAACATACAAACTCACTGAAATGGTACCCGTTCCACTTACCCACTGTCCGGGTGTGCCATATGGTAAAATCGATGCATATGCAACCCGTAGTAGGGTGATACTTAACTTGTTTTCATTGTTCAATATCGCAAAAACTACACCAGTCTAAAACAAAATATCTTTCAAATTTATATGTTGACACGTTTTGAGCAAGAAACTTCACATCAAACCAGAATGTTTCCCCTGAATCCTTAGTGTGAGCATCACTAGGCCTACTCCAAGCACTATTGTCTAATTTACCCCTCACCATGGGGATTTCCTTTTCTGTGTGTGCTTTCATATAGGATTCTAATCTATATCATAATGTGCACGTTACTCTATTCATGCTATATGCATCCAATAGAAAGCTCAATATTTAAAAAAAGAATATTTGGTCATTAAATTCGCATTCACATGGGAACATAATATATTAACTATTTTAGTTTTAACTAGGTCTACATTACTGCTGATTTCACATTCAAATGCATTTTGCATTGCAAATTATTAATATAAATTAGTTATAATTCTAATGTAACTCATTTTTAGGTCAATAAAAATAAAATTTTATAATTTTGAAAACATTAGACCAACACCCACAATAAGGGTAGAATTTCACGCTTTGGTGTCCCCTGAATAGGGGTAGGACTTCTACACCTATTAACGGGTCTCGAAGGTATTTATAATAGGGGTTATATCGAGGTATTGTAGTGTCTCGTAACAACAATATGATATTTGATAATAATTACCTTAACAGCTTTTCAATTTTATGTTCATGATGTGTTGATGTGTAGCGAACAGACCCTACGTAATGCACTCTCTTATTGTAAAGAGTGAAAATGTCACTCTTCACTTAGAGTGAAACGGTTTTCACTCCAAAAGAGTGACATATCACGGGGTCCGGTGTACCACCAAAAGTCATGTCATATCCCTGTTCTACAGCCAAAACTTAGTCTAAATATCAATTTTCATTTAATTATTTTATTCTATTTGAAGATATGGCTAACTGAAAATGCAACTTTACAAATGTCATTGAGAGCTAAAAAGGGGTATGACCCAGAAATTCCAAATGGCCGTAACTTCTAAACGGCTTAGAAATTGGCAAGTCAATTTTTAGGTTTGTTCGTTAGACATGTTAGTGCATCATAACCAAGTTTCAAGAAAATCTGAGACGGAGGCCTACCCAACCAAGATTTTCTGAAAATTTGTTGAATTGGCATGGAATGACCCATTTATCATTTCTTGTGTTTTTGCAGATTGGCATAAACGTGGACAATTTAGCCAAAGAGAAAAAATGGAAATACATGCAACCATTTATACTGTCTGTTGGTCCAGCAACAAAACTGAAGCAGTTTTTTTTATTAGTATTATTATACAGTATATACGACCATGTTGCTATAGAAGCTGGCTCTTTTGTATGCATTTGATCAGGAATTCAAAGTTTTCTACGCTTTCAACATCGCATTCCCGCGCTGCCTACGTGCATTTTATGCACATTTTTTTAACCGTAGCTTATGGTGCGAGCATTTACTGCGATTTCGACTACTAATGTGCCTTTGGATTCTGCTTTACGTTGTTTGGGAAAGACATTCTCAACCAGATTTGCTAATTGTTTCAAACTATTATTGTCGGACTCGTTTGTTGGTGCCAGGCATGCTATAAAGCCTACTATCTGATCTTTCCTACTTTGACAAAATCATGCAAGTATTATGCCCATACACTACTACATTAAAAGAACCTAAGTTGTCAAGTTAGTTATCTTACCTTGTTCAATTCCATTTTACAAATTTGACTACAACTAGAGAATACATCTTGCCAATAACCGTCAACTAACTGTTTAGTAGCAGGAAGAGAATACATTTATAAAACTCGCATGTTGGGAACTTAAACACAAAGTAACCAAGGAGTACAGCTGTTGTTGGTTTTAAAGGTGAGGACAAGTACGCCTGGGTCAATTATACACGGATCTGTTTCACGCAAAGTAAACTTAATGCGACAACATAATATTAATCGTATTATGGTTATGGAACACTGATCGATCACAAACTGTACCGACTGTTAAATATAATTAGTAAGAGATATTACTGATTGAACTTGTAGAATAATGATTTTTTTATTCAATTGAATTAAATTAACTGCAATCAGATGTTTCCTTACAAGAAATATAATAAGCATATAAGCCATATTATGAAAATGTAATATTTGTGAGTCAAATTAAGAGTATCAAATGTCCATGCCAATACCAATTTAAACTAGTGCAGTCAAACCACAGTGTGCATAGCTCCACCCTGTGCCTGGTTACCGAACAATACATACGTACTAGGCCGTATATGGGCGATTTTATTAATTTATTTTATGCTCGAAGGTAAGTTTAATCAAGCAATCAAACAATAAGAATCCAATCAATTAATACAAATTTATTTCCAAATTAAATAAAAACATTCAATAAGAACAAGTTACGGTATCAAATAAATAAAAAAAATGGAAAAGGGATGACAAAATATGCCCACACTAAAGTAAATAAAAATTGCTAACTTAGTAATAACTTACTTATAAAAAATTAAA